ACTTGATTCAATCAAGATGAGCGACATGACTTCCTTCATTTCATGAAGTACATCATTTGATTCTCGATCTAGAACTATTCCATACCCTTGGATAGAGAAACTAATCCGTTGCTAGGTGCCTAGCCTGGAATGATTGCAAAGTTGCTAGGCTTGTAATACTCCTAATGATCATCTAGTTCTTTGAGATTATTTTTTTAAGAGACATTTGTTCTTGGATGATGAACAAAACTTTTTGAAGCCCAAGAAATGCTTCAGTCCCTTAGATGGGCAGGAACCTGCCTGGAAGCTCTCCCTCCCAATTCTTTTATAAGAGGACCCTTACCCGCAAGAGATATAGTTGCTCCATTGTTGGAATTTGAAATCTGAATTGAGGTAATTTACTCTAGATTTATCTCGACGTTTGCATTAATTGTGGCCTTTTAATTCTAGTCTTATCCGCTTGACTTTTTTATTTCAAAATTCAATAAATTTATAGCATTTTTCGTGGCTATAAATCAAGATCAAGAATTCCAGATAGTGCTCAGCTATGTCTACATTTTGATATTTTACTACATTTTCATTAAATTTGCAAACGACTACACAATTTATTGCTAGATTTGTTTATAAATTTAAAGCAACTACAATATGCCATGTCAATTTTGGCTACTATTTCTATACAACAATTATCGTATAATTTTAAAAATTTCAAATTCTCTTTGACCCACATGATTAATAAGAAGAATGATTGCAACGGATGTTTCAAACCTTTCAAAAATGTGCAGATTATACTTTGACTTTCAAGTCGTTGTAGCAGAGGTCCAAAACCTCTCAAAATTGTGTGGCAGAAGGTCCTATGTACGGATTTCATCTAAAGGCACGTTATTCAACTAAAGTCCATTTTTGACCATAATTTGACCAAATTTAAAAGGTGATAAAATGGTCTTTTAACTTCAATTTATTAGAAAGAAAATTTGCATTGGAGGTCCCAAATCTTTTAAATTGTGTATTAGAGGTCCTAAACTCTTAATAAATATACGCTAAAAGGACTTCTAGTGTTTTTCATCCAAAAATTGTCGAACAAAAAAATTTCTCTCCCGATCCACACAACCACCAACACTAACCCCAAACTCTAACCCATCCAACCCACCTATTGGTTGGTAGGAGAGCCTTTGCCACTTCCATTACCATTAGTTTTGAAGAGAGTATATACATTTTTATTTATTTCTTTTCAGTTCTTTAAATGTTCTAGTTAGGAGGAAATTGAGTTGAGGGAATGGGAAAATGGGGTGGCAAACGTGGATGGTGAGGTTGACCAAACAATATTCATCTTTCCCAATCGACCCCCATCTCAACTCTAGCCTATAACCCTTTGAGGATTCTTTGCCCCAATCTAAGGCATAACATATGTAATCGAATTTGACTCCATCATTCTAGCCTAATTCTGTGATATTATTTCCATTATTTCCATTGTAATTTGTATGTAATTACTCTAGATTGATTTGTAAGGCTTCTTGTATATCAATATAAATTGACACACTAACCATCACTAAAAACTGTGAGGTGATTTATTCTTCAAAGAGTCTTATGGTATCAGAGCCCTTCTTTGATTAACATCCATAAACCATTCAATCTCACCATGGCTGCCAAATCTACTCTCTTCTCTTTCAACACCATGATCCACATGGTAACAATTAAACTCTCCTCCTCAAACTACCTCCTATGGAAAAGCCAACTTCTTCCCCTTCTTGAGAGTCAAGAACTACTTGGTTATGTAGAAGGAACACTGGAGCCTCTACCACGGTTTGTCCCACCCATCTCTCAAACACCAAACAACAAACACCTGGCGTGGAAAAATACTGATCAAAGGCTTCTCAGCCTTCTTCTCTCCTCTTTAACTGAAGAGGCCATGGCTGAAGTCGTCGGCCTCTCCACATCACGCGAAGTCTGGCTCGCCTTGGAACACCTTCAATCATTGCTCCAAAGCTCACGAGATTCGTCTCAAAGATGATCTCCAATTGATGAAGTGTGGAACATGCTCTGTCTCTGAATATGCTCGTGCCTTTAAGGCACTTTGTGACTAGCTACATGCCATTGGACAACCAGTTGATGCCACGGACAAAGCCCATTGGTTTCTTTGAGGTCTTGGCATTGATTTCTCATCAATCTCGACTGCACAAATGGCAGTCACTCCTTTCCTCTGCTTTGCTAACCTTGTCTCCAAAGCTGAAAGCTTTGAATTGTTCCAGAAATCTCTTGACTCTCCAAGCCCACCCACAGCGGCTTTCACTGCCACAAATCGTAGCTTCAATCGTGTGAGTCACTACGGCCAACCCTCACGCACCAATCATGGACGCAACAGCAATCAGGGCTTCTCCAATCATGGTAGTGGACGAAGCTTCTCCAACCAAAGATGCCGGCCCCCACGATGTCAAATTTTTCGGATCGAAGGACACTATACAGACCGTTGTGACCAAAGGTACACTCGACAAGACAAATTTGCTCACCTTGCTGAGGCTTTCAATAAATCGTGCTCAATGTCTGAAAATGAGGCCTCTGACTGGTACTTGGACACTGGGGCTTCAGCCCACATGACTACCAATCCATCGATTCTGGATCACTCAAATAATTACACCCGTAAGGATTGTGTAATTGTAGGAAATGGTGCTTCCTTACCTATAACTCACATTGGTACCGTCTCTCCCAACCAAAATCTTCATTTACTTGATGTTTTAGTCGTTCCTCGTTTAACTAAAAATCTTTTGTCCATTAGTAAATTAACTTTTGATTTCCCTCTATCTGTCACTTTTACTAATAACTCTTTCACTGTTCAGAATCATCAAACGGGAAGGATGGTGGCAACCGGTAACCGAGATGGTAGATTATATGTGCTGGAGCGTGGATATCCAACTTTTATTTTTGTTCTTAATAAAAAGTCGTTACATGCCTCATATGATTTATGGCATGCTCGCCTTGGACATGTAAACCATTTCATTATCTCTCTTTTGAATAGACAAGGTCATCTTTATCTTACATCTCTATTGCCTTCTCCAACACTTTGTAATGCATGTCAAATTGCAAAAAATCATCGTTTACCTTATTCGCGTAATGACAAACGATCATCTCATGTGTTAAATTTAATTCATTGTGACATATGGGGCCCCTCCCCCGTTAAATCCACTTCAGGGTTTGTCTATTATGTTGTCTTTATTGATGACTTTTCTCGCTTCATTTGGCTATACCCTTTGCATTTAAAATCTGACTTTTACAATATTTTCCTTCAATTTCAAAAATTTGTGGAAAATCAATATTCTGCACGAATAAAAAAATTTCAAAGCGATGACGGTGGAAATTTCACTAGCAATCGTTTCCAAGCACATCTTCGCACCTCTGGCATCTATCACCAACTATCTAGCCCATACACACCCGCTCAAAATGGTCGCGCCGAATGGAAACATCGTCATGTGATTGAGATTGGCCTAGCTCTTCTTTTTCACTCTCATCTTTCTCCTCGTTTCTGGGTTGACGCCTTCAGCACTGTAGTCTACATCATCAATCGCTTGCCCACACCACTTGTTGGAAGTAAGTCTCCTTTTGAGCTTTTGCATGGTTCCTCTCCGAATTATGAAATTTTTCATCATTTTGGTTGTCGTGTTTATCCTTATTTACGTGATTTTATGCCTAACAAATTTTCTCCTCACAGCATCCCGTGCATTTTTTTTGGGATATAGTTCCTCCTATAAAGGATTTCGTTGCCTAGATCCTACCATCTCTAGAATATACATCACTCGACATGCACAATTTGATGAACATCACTTTCCCTCTTTAGAAACCTCTCGCGCTCAACCTCTCTCATCTCTCCATTTTCCAATTTTCTTGAGCCCGTCTCATCCCATACAAAACCATCTCCCCTTGAGCCGTTACTCTATCCGGATCTAACACGTGTGTTATTTGTACTGACCCAGTGGATAAGTCTGTATAGGTTGCTAACTCTAATGCAGGTTTTATTTTGGTCCACTCGGCCTCCATACAATCCCCTGTTGAGTCAGACATCGCTCCACAAGTCTATGATCTCACTCCAGCTCCAACTTCAGCACCTTCATTAGGCTCTCACCCTATGATTACACGAGCCAAGGCTGATATTTTCAAAACTCGCCATTCGACTAATATTGGCACCTTGGGTTCTTCTGGTCTTCTTTGTGCTCTTCTTACCTCTACTGAGCCTAAAGGTTTCAAATCTGCTGCAAAGAATCCTGCGTGACTTGCTACCATGGATGAAGAAATGCAAGCCTTGCAAAACAACCGTACCTGGATTTTGGTCCCTAGACCTGCTAACACCAACATTGTGGGCTCCAAATGGGTATTCAGGACCAAATTTTTGTCTGATGGATCCATCGAGCGTCTCAAAGCTCATCTTGTTGCTAAGGGTTATACACAGGTACCTAGTCTTGACTACAATGATACCTTCAGTCCTATTATTAAGGCTTCCACTGTTCGCGTTGTACTCTCTATTGCTGTGTCTAACAAATGGCCCCTTCGCCAGCTTGATGTTAAGAATGTGTTTCTCAATGGCACCTTACTGAGCATGTTTACATGGAGCAACCTCCCGGATATATTGATCCACTCTTTCCCAATCATGTCTGTCAGTTGAAGAAAGCTATCTATGGTCTAAAGCAAGCGCCTTGTGCTTGGTTCCAGCGCTTCAGTTCCTTCCTTACTCAACTTGGATTTTCTTGTAGTCGAGCTGACACTTCGCCATTTGTTTTCCATAAGCACTTTGATATCATTTATTTGCTCCTCTATGTTGATGATATTATTATCACTGGCAACAATCCATCTCTCATCCACAGATTCACTTGCATACTTAATTTCGAGTTTGTTACTAAGGATTTGGGTCATCTTAGCTACTTCCTTGGCCTTGAAGCCTCAACAACTACAAACGGTCTATTTATTAGTCAGCTAAAATATGCCGGGACATTCTTACTCGAGCTCCGTTCCTTGATAGCAAACCAGTCCATACCCCTATGGTTGTTTCTCAGCACCTGTCTGCAAAGGGTACTCTTTTCTCGAATCCCACTGTTTACAGATCTCTGGTTGGCGCCCTTCAATACTTGACTATCATGAGCCCAGATATTGCTCATGCTGTCAACTCTGTCAGTCAATTTCTGCATGCTCTAACAACAGACCATTTTCTTGCAGTTAAGCGTATTCTTCGCTATATCAAAGGCACCCTTTATTTCGGCCTCATCTTCCGCCCTTCTACTACTCCTAGTACCCTTATTGCTTACTCTGATACTTATTGGGCAGGATGCCCTGATACTCGTCGGTCTACCTCTGGTTATTCCATCTATCTTGGTGGAAATTTGGTTTCTTGGAGTGCTAAGAAGCAATCCACAATCTCTCGTTCTATCTGTGAGTCTGAATATCGTGCCCTTGCACACACTGTCGCTGAGCTTCTTTGGATTACACACCTTCTTAAGGACTTACTAGTGTCACTTCCACAGCGGCCCCTTCTTCTATGTGACAACAAAAGTGCTATGTTTCTAAGCTCCAATCCCGTTTTTCACAAACAAGCCAAGCATGTTGAATTAGACTACCACTTTCTTCGTGAACTTGTTGTTTTTGGAAAACTTCAAACTCAGTTCGTCCCCTTTTCACCTATAGGTTGCTGACATCTTCACCAAAAGTATCTCTCGACCTCTTTTTGAATTCTTTCGATCCAAGCTTCACATCCGTTCTAATCTGATGCTCAGCTTGCACGCCGAGAGGGGGGGTTGTTGAGGATACTTTGCCCCAATCTAAGGCATAACATATGTAATAGAATTGACTCCATTATTCTAGCCTAATTCTGTGATATTCTTTCCATTATTTCCATTGTAATTTGTATGTAATTACTCTAAATTGATTTGTAAGGCAGTATATCAATATAAATTGACACACTCACCATCACTAAAAGTTGTGAGGTGATTTATTCTTCAAAGAGTCTTATAACCTACCCATGAAATAAGCTTTCTCTTCTTTGACTGGTGAGCCTCACAACAGCCATCGTCGTCAGAGCTACAACCACTACAATGTCAGCCACAGCCTAATTTCCTCTACCTTCGTCGACCCACTTTTTCTCCTCCCCATCAACTCCATTCCTTCCTAACAAGAACCTTTAGAAAATTGAGATGAATTAAATAAATTCTCTTCGAAATCAACAATAATGATGGTGGCGAACACTCCTCCAACTACCAATGGGTGGGATTGGGGGGGTTAGGGCTTAGGAATTGGGGTTGGGGTAGGACGGATCAAAGAAGATAAATATTTTTGTCAACTGACAGATTTTCAATTGGAAATCAGTAAAGATTTTTTGACGCACAATTATTAAAGGTTTGGGACCTTTGATGAAATTTTTCCACTTTTAATTGATTAAAGGTTAAAAAAGCATTTTCTTTTTAAATTTGGTCAAATCATTGTCAAAGGCTAAATTTTGGTCAATTAACATGCCACTATTTCAGAAACAATCCGAAGGTCATTTTACTAGCAAATTTTTAAAAGGACTGGAAACTCCGTCGAAAATTTTCCTTAACAAAATACTAGTAGTTTACTTGACGGCCTAAAATAAATACCTGTTGGCGGCTACTAACAAATTTTTAGACATCAAATAGCCAATGCAGGCCCCACCCGTACTCAGACTAGGATAGACCATGTTAGTAAGTAAAGCGGCTCAACTCACTTTACACGTTTTGTGCACTCAAGAAGATAAAATAGCGAAAATGAAGTTTTTATACTATTATATTATTGCAACTACAATAAAGAGACAAATTTATTTTTAAACACCAGAATCAGCAAAAACAAACTGTTTCTGCTAACACTTCTCTTGAAAAACCAATCAAGAGCTTCTTCTTCCACTTCATATTTCACTGATCCAAAAAAGAGTAGGGAGGTTTAGTTCAGTTCCACATATGCATAATTATTACTTTTTCAATCTGAAAAGTTAAGCAAAATAAGATTAAAAAACCTTAGGGGAATGTTTGGAAGGCAATTATGGGCAGTAGAATATATATTGGCAATAATTTGCAATGAGAAACTAAACTTAGATTTCAATAATTTATAAGAATATGCATGAAGCTCAGACTTCGAGTTAAAAATGAGGGACTAAAAAATTTTGCAAAGACAAAGTGATAATGTCGAATGGTTAAATTTCTTGCCAAGTAGAAGATGATGGAACGATCCCTTAAAACCCAATAACGAAAGTTTCAAAAGGGGACTGAATCGGCTACTATGGCACGAAGGATCTTTTTCTTCAAAGAGATTTGATTCAGCGCATACCGTAATAATTTTAGCAGCAGTAGTTCATCCAGCAGGATTCATACTCCTGGCTCATCCTGTATACCGATTGCCACCACTTGGCTTGCTAGCTCTTGTACTGGATCACTGCCAGAAGGAACATCTCTAGCATCTGTACTCACTGGCCAAGTCATTGGAAGTACCAAGTCCCTACAGCAGATGACAATGTGATATGTGGCTAATTAATAGAAATTCACACCTCGTTTCATTTTTACAACAAAATGATTTGGGAAAGAAAAGGTCGTTCTCTCTTCTAACATGTTGTACACCAACACAAATAAATGTAATAAACCAATTCAAAATAGAGGTAAAATGTTGGTTGAAGAATTTCTGAAGCAGAACTAGAAGTCGCATACCCTTCAACGTGCTTGCACAAGCATTGGCTCATATAATCAACTGTATACTCCCCGAATGCTGAATCAAATTTCTTGGCCAATTCTGATATCTCATAACTTGGCAAAATGTCCAAAACTTTGATAACTTGAATGTCACTTGAATTTTCCCGAAGAATGTCAATGGTCCAAATCAATTTCAATAGCCTGTTGACATCATATAATTCCAACAGTTGGGAAGCAGCACTATCCATGTTACTGAGAATTTCAGGTTTGTGCAGATGACGCCATCCGTCTGATAGCTTCTCCAAAAGAGAAATCACCTCTTTACAGATATTGATGCCTTGAATATTGGACATGGATTTCAAGAATTCATCACTAAAACAAACCTATCATAGGAAAAGCCGAGGTATGGTTAGTTACATCTTGTTTATTATACAGTCCATCCAATTTTATCTAGTTCTGTATACCAAACTTGCACTTGCACTTGCACTTGCACTTGCACTATAGATGTTATAAATACTAATAGAAAGAAACTACTTTGTGCTATTTACCGATGAGAAATTTATTTCATCGAAAGAACTAGTTCGATTCATTGTAGTATGTTACTGAAAGAAAATTAAATTATTTATGCCCATTTGATATACTGTGTCCCTTTTTGAGAATTATAAATTCTAATTCTATTCCACCAAAAGCAATCAATTCAAAGAAAGAAAAAATAAACCTTCGAGAACATACAAAATTTATATAGGTTCGCTTCAATATAAGATTACATCATCTCCCGCCTTGCAGTAATTCACTATGATTAGAAAAGGTTTGCAAGAAAAAATCGCACGCCTATCTTTTCTTATCTCTCTCTCTCCTTTATGATGATAATAATAAAGTCTAAAGACAGATACCTATGTTTAAGATGAATATAGGCAAATTCAAATTTTACAAGGACTCCAATCCCTTAATGTATGACCGACAATAATTAGGCTACACAACTCAACATCCCTATCAGTGGCTTAAAAGATTTGAACATCATACTACCTTAAATCAAAGAATAGCAATATCTGTTGAGATAAATAGCAGTGTACCTTCCACTTTGCCTTTTGGAACAGAGAGGACTTCATATCAAACAACAAATTGACCTGGCCAAGCTCAACCAAGGCACAAACAATTGCTTGTTTCAAATTGTTGTCCTCAAAAGCATCATAAAAACAACCCCGATTCTTGGAATCCAGAACTAATTCTTTCCAAACTGATTCCTTATTTAGTAAAGTTGCACTATTGCCCAATATCCAAAGGCAGTACCTGTAGAAAGAGCAATTTTATAAGGCATTAAGGTATTGAATTACTATAGAAACCAATACGGGAAGCTAATGGTCAGTCACACTATTTTCTGCTTTGTAAATAATACCTGGCTCGAGTCAGAGCAACATTTGCTCGTTGACAATCAAAAAGAAAACCAATATTTCCTTTATCATTGCTCCGGACAGTAGAGATTAATATAACATCTTCTTCACCACCTTGAAAACCGTCAATAGAGTTAACATTTACTGAAAAATCTTCGTCAGCATCTGTGCTATACGTCTTTCCCAGTTTTTGCTGAATTGCAAAAACTTGTGTTTTATATGGTGACAAGCAACCAACACGCACCTTTTTCTTAGAGGCAATAGATTCTGAGAAAAGTATAACTAGTAAGAATTCAAATACAGAGCAAAATTGGCACTTAGATTGTGGCTAATAATCCCCTTCCAGTGTAACTGGGCTTGGGACCATTGGAGTGCAAGAAAATGTATATTTTGGAGTTTGAAAAGCAAGGCAATTCAACTATTCCAAAAGATGTTGGAATTATTCATTTCAAGTAAGTATCTTGACCAAGAAAATGATTATGAATGCTGCGAAATAATTCAAGTACCTTTATAGAGGTTGGATACAATCTCAGCAATAACAGAGACCTCGACCATATTTTTCTTACTATACCTATCATCAGATTCCTCTTTCCCACTGGTCACGTCAATGAACGAGTAGGAGCCAAAGATGTTTCCTTCGAGGCAGTGCCTTACATAGGTTTGTTCCTTGACATTTGGACCGTCCCTAATCTGTTTGCCATAGAACTTCGTGTTCGGGAATAAGCTTATTGAGGGATGCATTCTATACTGAACATCAAGAAGGTGCTTGCTGCGTCCTAATATCACAAGCCTCTCAAATAAACTCCTCCCAAAATCAGCCTTCTTACATATCTGTCAATACAAAACAAGATATCATTGACAGTAAAAATATTTCTAAATATTTAATAATTAATGAAAGAACTAAGAAAGGTTTTAAAACCTCGCTTTGAACCATTGCTGGAAGTTGTTTCTCATCTCCAACGAGTACTGCATGGCGAAGACCAGGGAGCTGTAGAGGAATAGCAGATTCACATTCCTTTAGTTGTGCAGCTTCGTCAATTATCAACAATTCAAATGGTGCCAGTTCTCCACTTTTCAATTTCGCTGAACTCGAAACAGTACAGAAAACTAAGCATGCGCGTGCTAGACAAAAATCCCGAATTTCATAATATTCAGTGAAATCTGGTAGAGAGAATGTTCCTAGAAGGAATTTCATCTTTTGAAGGCACTTAGATCTGATTTCTCCTGCTCCATTTAGGACTTGTCTCAAATCTTCATTTAGGATTGAATTTCTTAAAGTTTGAAGCATATCAAGAACTCTATCAATGTTCTTTACTACTTCCAAATTAAGAAAGGAAGTAGGCAAATGGTTGCACAAGCCTTTAGCACAAAACATTATCTGCGTTACTAATGAATCAAATTTCTTTCTAATTAACTCCTCAAATGTCCATCTAGTATCACCTTCGTTGCTTGCTTTTTCTTTGTTTTTCTCATTCTTATCCTTTCTTTTGTCGTCCTTCATATTCTCTCCTTTATTTGATCTTTCCTTTTTGTTTTCCCTCAAGGTATGGATGGTTTCCATCATAAGTTTCTTCTTTATTGTGCCTTTCTTGTTTTCACAGCTCATCTCTGTCGCTTCATTTTCGCTACCACTCTGTTTCTCTTTTCTAAACTGTTCCTTTTCTTCCTTAATCTTCTGCTTCTCATTGTCATCATCTTCGCGGGTATCACCATCACCACCACCACCACCACCATTGTCCTTTACTTTTTCTTGTATCAAATATTGTTGATATTGCTCGTCAGGATCTTCAAGCAAGCCTATAATTGATACTATACTTGCTCTCCACCCAAAAAGTGGATCACAACACCAATGCAGAATAGAAATACGATAGTCGAGAAATACATTATAAAGATCTTCATTGTCGTCAATCTTCATTCGTTCCCCATTACCAAATAAAACTATGTCTCCCAATCCATATGTATTTTCTAATAATTTATCACTTAGCAAACTCAGTAACTTTGTTGCAACTCCTATGACAGCTACATTGGTTGGTGCACAAGTTAATGTCCGGCATTTCATCCTCAACAGGGCAAACAATAACGATGAAATTGTTTTTGTTTTTCCGGTTCCCGGGGGACCCCATATCAGCTTCACATCATTTCGATGATGACATTCTCTTGTAACAATACAATTTAAGATAGCTGCTACTTGTGAATCATTCATGCCAAAACTGCCAATCGATTCCCTTAACGTAGATTCATGAGTAATTGATTCCTCAACGGAACAAACAGTACAAGTTTCTTCAAACTACATACAATAGAAAAGTGCAGTCAGAAATGAATTAATCAAAACTGGATAAATATAATTCAAGTTAGAGATTATGTCCGCTAGAACTTACTGATGGATTGACTCTCAGCACCGACTTAATGATCTTCATGTTTTCTCCTATCTGGTTTGGATTCAATGCTTGCCATATTCGGATATTTGTCGTCAAGTTTATAAGATAAACAGCAAAAAGTTCGTCCCTGTCCTGCATATCAAACACGATAGGCTTCGAAGAAATGACTGAAAATTTAGTAGAATCGTCATCTTTGGTGCTGTAAAGTACAGCTAAATTATAAGGCCTTCTGTACAAATCATCAATATATTTTGGTCTCACATCCGTCAAGGCAATTAAATCTCCAACCTCTGGTTCATATACTCCTTTGTCTTCCTCACTTTCACTCTTTCCTTTCAGTGTCATGGTATAGAACAAATCTTTGGGAGGTCTGAAATCTTTGTTAGGGTTGACATCAAATATTTCACGTGCAGGTGGACGACTCTTAGAAGTAAAACTTGACCGCAGACCAGCATGTGTTTCTTCTATAAGAGGGTAGTTGAATGACCGGAGATAGTGTTTTTCTGAATAGAATGTCTCCGGAATTCGCTCAACCTGTCAAGATAAAATGTTTGAAGACACATAACCGTATTACGGATTATGTGATAATAAATTAATACTGCGTTAGAAATTGGTTATTTAATTATGTTCTACTCTGGGAGTAAAACATCAAAGTGTATGTACTGTAGGAATTTGTTCAAATATTAAATGTAATCTTTATACCGAAACTCTGTCCAAATTTTCATTTATATAAATTGTGTTTTGATCACGCTCTTGCGGGTTAAAACTGGTCAAACAAATATATAAAAAATCAACCCTTACATAACCTTTTTTATAAGTCGTCTCCAACACGTACTTACTTGAAAATGAGAAAGGAATGTTAAAACTTAAAACTAAAGTTGGATAAATGGTGAAAATTTTGGAAAAAGTCGCATCCCATATTCGAAGATGACAACCGCTTTAAGTAGCCGGAGTTTATGACTTGGAACTTGAAATGAGTGGACCCATACGTTAGTGATTTAGGGCTAAAACTCCCCCACTATCGACCGTGCTGGCCACCGGTCATGGGCTCAGGATAAGCTCAAGTTGATGTATATTATTTGGACAAGAAATAATTATATAAATTTCATTTATTTGTTACTATCCAAATCCTCGCAGGAGATGATGGATGCGGATTTTCTTTTGAATTGCCATTATTTCCTTACAGCGTGTCATTGGCTAAACTTACTTGATTGGAATCATTACAATAGGTGTTTTATCATCTCTTAATTAATAAAATTTCGAAATTGAGGATCGTGAGACTCGCCCAACCTAGTAAGGGGCTTGAATCGGTATTTTGTTTAGGGATGCAACTCTATCTTTCTTTTTTGTTTCATATCTATACTTTCGGATATAAAAAAGTGAAAGTGGTGTGTTTCATGAAACTCAGGAAATTTGGACAAAACCTACTTGGAGCCCTAATTAGGGTCTCCTTGAGTTCCTTTTATAAAATGAAAAAGAAAGGGTGTCCCATACTCCATTACAATTATAGGTAGAGGGTTTTCAATTAATTCTTTTGAAGTGCTCAAAGTCGGCTAAGGTTAAGGTTCAATGCTTTTTGGTTGCTTCTTTGTCCCTCGTCACCCTAAGAGAGGACGGAGTTTGCTTTCTTTCCTACGCGAGTGAAGTTGTAAGGTGGAATGCTTTCCCGCTTTCAAAAAATGGGCTTTGCCTTGAGGTCTTAGATTCCTTATAGTAAGCCCGGTAAACTTCTTGAATTTAAAAAAATAAAAATAAATAATAATAATAATATATATAGATGTGAGGTTAGCTCAACTGAAACGAAGGCTCAAAGGGTATACCAGTGGTGGATCATTGTGAACCATTTGCTTCCAAAAGAAAGTTCACCTTTCTTTGAAGAATATAGCAAGCTCTTAACAGCGATTGAGTATATAGATCACTTTACAAAGGGTGATGCTACCATATTGAGCTGTTCTTGGAGAAGCATATCAATATATCCGAGAGGACTGGGTTGAGCCAACCTATGGTCTACCGGTTGTTATGCCTTTTTCATAGCCTTAAGCAAGCAGACGAGCTTTCTTACTAATGCTAGTGATATGCAGGACAAACATCATTATAAGTTGTCCAAGTTGCCTATTGGACAAGGACACTAACATATGAAAACTACAAGTCATAATTCAAACATAGCTCGTACAAAGTGAGAAACGGTTTCCATGAAAGAGTCTTCCCACGGTACTGCAACATGGAACAGCGAAAATCCCTCCTTGAAGTCTAACCTACCTACAGGATACTCCACCAGTAACTCATCATCCATCCTAAGATCACTGCCTCGATTGTTGCTCCTCTCTTCTTTTGCTTTCTTCTCCCGAGGGAGAGGGGAATTGGTTTATAAGCTAAATGACAATCATTGCCGTCTCGTCCTCTAAATGTAGTAACATCAAAGTTGATCACGAGATATGCGATGAAGCTTCTCTCGTCAAAGCCGGGGGTTAAACCGCCTTCATTTTTGCCTGTTTGATCGTAGGATATGCGATTAAGCTTTCGGTACTACATCCCATTAGTTCAACTTGTGACAGGTGTACAAGAAAGAAGAATGTGTATCTCACTACCGATGTCGTCAAGATCGTGTACAAGCACCTCTAGAATAGCAAGACCCTCGGACGATAAAGAGATGTTATTTAGATCGAGGGACCAGAAGCTATTTCACTAAAATCATGGGAGAGTTGGTTATAACCACTTTAGATCCATAAGATATTGAACTTTAAAATGACTTAAATTGAAGGTCACGATTATTTATCAAAATGAATATATCAGATTAATGAGTACGAGGAATGTTCCCGTGATAAAAATAAGTTTTTCTTCATGAAATTTCTATTCAAGCAATAAGAGTTCAAGTAAATTAAAAAGGAGAGGATTGCAGGAACAAACCTTATTCCTGTAAAGGTCCTTGTTCATCACATCACCTATAGACCAAGAAAACACCACATCGATCAATCCTCGACCTTCAATTTCTTTGATATTTTTCTCTACAATGCTCATCATCTCTCTCTCTCTCTCTCTCTCTCTCTAATCTAAAGCAAATGTCACAAATGATTGAATTTCCGGGATCAAATGAGCCGGTTACTTTGCTTTTAAGTTACCAATCCCCAATGGAGACTGGGTAAAGCTTAAAAGAAAAATGAAATTTCCCCACAAATTAAAGAACAAACAGCAAAAGGTGTACGTACGAACTTTGTAATGCTCATGAAGCAAAGAAAAGAATAGAGAGAGCAATTTATATTGACGAAGTAAAGCGAGAGGAATCAAGTTGACGAAGACTTCAGGAGTCAATTCAAACAGTACACTTCTTTAATCGGAGGTGTCTGTCGACTATATATAGTGTTAAAGAAGAAAAAAATCTTGTTCCGTCCAAGTTAACTCTCTCCACCCGTCCGTCCATGCTAAACTATTCAAGGAAGAAGATAAACAATATTTCAATGGAGAAATATAAGTTATTGTCATAGTTTGGTGCTAACTAAAAAGTGAGAAGAGACAATTTTTACGCGATGGAAGAATGAAATTGAAGAGGAACTGAGGAAAACAGTACAAAGACTATAATTTTAACCCTTTTTTCTTTTTTCCTTGAAAAAATGATGTAGTATTGAAAGCATTATTTTAGCTTAAAGAAATTATTTAACATTTTTTTCCCTTTTAGTTTGCACAAAGTAATTATATCTCAATAGTATTTTGTCCAAAATTTGGAGTAGAAACGGGAGGTTAAAACCAAATCAATTTGTAAAATATTGATTTGGGTGACCGTTTGGTTCAAGTTTTAGATATTGTTAAGTCGATATAAAAGGTTTAGTTTGCAAATAGTTCAAAAACCCACCTAAACAAATCTCTACACCCCAACCATAAGCCATATTTTTAAGGTTTTCTGAATTTATCGTTTGATAAATAAATAAATAATCATGGAATTCACTTTTTAAAAAGCCTCATTTTGTTAAATTGTGGAACTTAATTGTTGTTATTGTGCGAAGTCAATAAACGTATCAACCTTCACGATGAGGTTGTCGTGTGGTGAACAGAGGCAGGATGGAGTCCCAAACCAAAATTTCATTAAGTATAATTTTAGGTACGTGTGTCCTTGTAAATTTTGATTTAGGAATTTTTGTGTCCTTGTAAAATTAGGGTTTGTCCTAATATGTTTTATAAATAAGGAGTCATCCCTGAATTTTTGTATTACCATAAAAAAGAGATATGCTAGAGAAGATACAATGTATGTTTTTCTTTTGTAAACTTCTTTTCATTATAGTAAATTACCTTAACGGCAAAGATGACATAATCTTATATTGAGGTAAATCTATATAAATCTTGTGTGTTCTCGAGTGTCTATTTTTCTTTTTGCAAATTAATTGCTATCGATGGAATGAAATTAAGATTTTAATTCTCAACATATTTATTAGCATGTTAAAAGTATAAGCACATTCAAATATGCTTTATTTAAGTTTTCAAATTTATTATAAATAAGGTACATTTTTCACTTAGAAATAGTAATACTTAATTTGAATTTTTACGAATGAACTATATTTAAAGGGAGTTATGCAAGTTATGGTAATTTTAGGATCTCGAATTTTTTGAAAGGTTTACCAACTGTATTTCTAATATCATAGAATTGCATGTAATCTGGATAAATTACTTTGGTACAAATAATAATAATAATAATAATAATAATAATAATAATAATAATAATAATAATAAAGAAAATGCCTAGAATTCCATAACAAATTGTGCAACTTCATTACTTTTTTGAAATATTTTTCAAAAAAATTTCTGTCAATATAAAAACTCAACTAATTTGGGATGGAGATTTTGGAAAAGCAGTGTTAGCATACTGCAATTGACACAGCCCACGAATTTTTTTTTTTTTAATTTTGAGACAAGTGCTTTGAATCCAGCATCACAGGTGCTACAACATTAGTTTAAGTAACGTTACGTGATAAACTCAGTAAAATATAAAAATAAGTGACTCATTTAATTGTATATAACATTTAATCCTATGTTAGTGTCGCCTAAATTGATGTTTTAACACCAGTAATGCTAAATAACATTCTCCTGAATACTTTATAATCTTGTCACCAGAGAAATTAAAAATGATAAATAAAAACCCCCCAACATCTTTAATAAGGTATTGAGTGGAAGAAATTTCCACTTCTACTTAAAAAAGTAAAGAAATGTAGCAATCTACTTCCATACATACCAATTCTATGCAGAATTTGGCTTAAAATTCATAAAACATATAGACAACACATCAACATTATAACTTAAAAGCTTGCTGCTTATCCTTCTCATGAGAAAAAGCCAATTTTATTTGAATTTTCCAGTTAAACTACTCTTAAGTCAGCGCCGATGGCTATTTCTCTCACGCCGTGCCTGTTTTCCATGAAAAAAAAGAAAAGAAAAAGAGAAATTGTCATGAAGATCACAAATTTATGGGAAAAAATAAAAAGAAGTTCCATGGTGGAATAATTTGTCCATACACTCACCCGATAACGTCGCTTTGATGTACCTGGTTCGTCCTGCAGACTGACTTTTGCCAGTTGACTTGCTAACTCATGCGTGGGATCACTGCGGGAAGGAGCATTTGTATTCGCGGGCCATGTCATTGGAAGAACCGTGTTCCTGCAGTGGATGACATGAACTAAGCCATTTTGCTGATAAATTTTAGAATTAACTGCATGAATCATTTCTTGTTAGGTAATATTGTCGATACAATGACACGAGAGTATTCTTAACCACAAGAAACCAATTAGTTTTGGCGCAACCTCACACTTCTAACCTGTACTACTGAGGTCTTGTCGACCTAATATTTATGTAAATCACAATCCATTCTTACAAGAACAATAACAAAAAGAGAGGGAATTGTAAAACAAGCAAAGGAAATATGCAATTCTATGGAGGTTCACTCTCAATAGAAGAGCAATGTCCACATTCCTTAGTAAGTTTTCACTATAAGGGAGAATAACAGTGCAAGGTTCTTCTCAAGCCTCACGTATACAGGCAAAAAACCGGCCACTTAAAATTCTTTATAAGTTAAGAACATTGGATGACCCACAAAGTGTTCCAACAGTAAACTGATAAAAATAATCAAGCATCTGGTTCCTAATGACATGCATGACTTGATGACATCTTAGTTTAGCTTTTAAAGCAACACAAATATAAGTTCGTACTATTCCATTTTATTGATTGGCGAAGTTAAAAAAAAAAAAGAAATCACATACCCTTCAAGTTGCTTGCACATGCAACGGCTCATATAATTAAACGTATTGTTCCCAAATTGCTCGTCAAGTTTTTTGGCGAATGTTAAAACCTTAGAACTTGGCAAAATATCCAAAATTTTGATAACTTGAATGTCATTCAAATTATCCCTGAGAATATCTACAGTCCAAATCAATTTGTATGGCTCCTTGACGTCATATAGTTCCAAGAATTGAGAAGAAGCACCATCCAAGTTGTTGAGAATTTCATGTTTGTGCAGCTGACGCCAGCCACTTGATAGCTTCTCCAGAAGAGAAAGTGCTTCTTTACGAATGTCTATGTGCTGAATTTTAGACATGGATCTTGAGAATTCATCAGTGAAACAAACCTATCATAAACAAAGCCGGTGCATTATCAGTAAGTTTAACAAACTAGACTCCTATGCATATATTGGACAAATAAAAAGCTTTAGGTATTATAAATACTAACAGCAAAGCAATTCCTTTACACTATTTAAGGATGTAATTTCTCTCTTCGAACAAACTAATTTAGTTAGTTGTAGTCTGTTTCTGACAGAAAAACAACTACGATATGTTCGTTTGAAGTTGTCTGTCCCTATGCATGCTTCATTGATTTAAACTCCACAATACCATGAAAATGAAGAACAAAAGGTTAAAGGGTAAGTAACTTTTGCCAGTATATGAGAGTAAGATATTTGGACACATATACCAGGGTGAATCTTTGCTACGCACTACAAGACATGATCAGACAGAATAATAAACAAGATTTTAGAATTATTCTTTATTAATACTGATTGGTGCCATCCGATCCTCTTCACTAAATAGGCTAGAAATGTGTACTTGAATCCAAGTTATAGGTTACAAGATATGAAGTAGATTGTCATCATTTTTTTATAAGTAACAAAAAAAAGCATATCAGTAGAGATAAATAGCAGCATACCTTCCACTTTGCCATTTGAAACAACGAGGAGTTTGTGTCAAATAACAAATTAAGCTCGCCAAGCTCAACCAAGGCACTAGTAATTGCTTGATTCATATTTTTGTCCTCGAAAGCATTATAAAAGCAACCCCGATTCTTGGAATCTTGAACTAAGCGCTTCCAAACAGAGCCACTCTTTAGTAAAGTTGAACTATTGCCCAATATCCAGAGGCAGTACCTACAGAAAGAGACATTTTTGTATTTAAATAAGATTTTTTACATGCAATAGTTTCTGCTATATAAATAATACCTTGCTCGAGTCAAAGCCACATTTGCTCTTTGACAATTAGAAAGAAAACCCACTGATCCATTCCCATTGCATCTAACAGTAGACATTATTATGACATCTTCCTCACCACCTTGAAAACCATCAACAGAGCGAATATTTACTGAAAACAGTTCGTCTGCATCTGTGCTATATGTCTTACCAAGTTTCTGCTGAATTGCAGAAACTTGTGCTTTGTACGGTGATAAGCAACCAACCCGAACCTTTTGCTTTGAGGAAAGGGATTCTGTGAAAAGGTATACTATGAGAAACAATTAGAATAAACCAAAAAGTGATTCTATCACGTTCCTTACAAAGTTTGTTTAACAATACTTGTTGAGATTAACTGGTAGATAGCCACAGTTACCTTTATGGAGGTTAGATACAATTTCTGCAATAACAAACACTTCGACCATGTTTCTCGTACTATGCCTGTTATCAAATTGCTCTTTGCCACTGGTCACATCAATGAATGAGTAGGAGCCGAACATATTTCCTTTAAGAAAGCGCCTTCCATAAGCTCTTTCCCTGACATTTGGTCCGTCTTTAATCTGTTTGCAATAGAACTCCTTGTTCGGAAATAAGCTTATTGATGGATGCATCCTGTACTGAACGCCAAGAAGCTGCTTCCTGTGTCCTAATATCACAAGTCTCTCGAATAAACTCCTCCCAAAATCAGCTTTTTCACATATCTGTCAATACCAAACAAAATGTAACTAAGAATGATTATCATTCTAAATTTTAATGACTAGTAAATGAATCAATAAGGATTACAAAACCTTGCTTTGAACCATTGCCGGAAGTTGT